GTGTGGGTTGGAATTTCTCTAGGTCTCCAACATGTCAGGACTTAGTGTATTAATGCCAATTGCAGTAGATGCTGGATTGTACACTTTGATGACAAATGCTTCTGCCTTTTTCATGTCGAAGGCACCAGTTTCTTCTGTTGGTTACAACAATTCTGGTTGTGCGATAAATATGTTCCAGGTCGACTATTACCAGTGAACTGGCTTGTTGTGTCACAACCTGTAACCGCATGGAATGTTGCAGCTACAACATCTGGAGTGATGCACAGCATCAACTGGTATGAATCTAGGGTCTAGTACCTGTACTCATCCATATCTGAGCAGAAAACCGATGTTTATGATGTATCTAACGCATCAGTGTCTCGGCTGTGAATGACAAAACGGTTGTATCCATTGCAGGAGGCATCAATAACATGGATCATCTTCCGTGTATCTGCCTCTTCATGTGTTGATAGTAGATTTGGTATTTTATTATGATTTTATTTTGTGTGTGTTTTTAAGCATTGTTGCAATTATCCCACTCATCCTCGATATTAACATAATCTCTACAACCATATCACAATTGGTATTTGAGGGGTGGGGTCACATTGTATAAAATATCTCAGCTCCTTTTCAATATAATTTCATTTTGTTTTCTGTATAGGATAGCACAATGGTTAAGGCTGATTCTGATATGCAGTTATAGTGGTTTTATTGCCGAAATGCAATGGAATTAGTGTTTTACCTACTCACAAGATTTGAAAAAGAAGGAAAAAAACATGTTTTTATCAATGTTTTCACTGAGAATTAGAATAACAGTTAAATGAAACAAACTGCTTGCCACATTTATATAACCGAACATATTACCCGTAACCAAAGACATGATTTGGATAGTTTAATGACTTAATAAAAATGTTGCAGCCAATTTTGTCAAATTATGCATTTTTCCTTCAATTTATGCAATTTTGACCCCGTGAAAATTCATGCACACACTTGCAAGCTTACTACCCAATGAAAACTGTGTACAGATACCTTCTTTATGCAGTAGAAAAGAATACAGGAAGGTATACAGGAAAATGTTGGAACGAAAATCTAAACTAAGCCTCTTTTCCGATGATGGCTAAATGACTGTTGGAACTGTCCGTTTACTGGGTCTTGCAGGAAGAGTATTACCGCAACAGTTCGTGGCCAGCTGTTTGGTTTTTTGTTTCCCATTTCAGTGATATGTCCTCATGGCCTAATCTCAACACTCACAATCAGAGTTTGACGTATTAAATATTAGCTTACCCTTAGTTCAATGATACAAAATAAATAAATCAATATTTACTATTGTCGTCGCAACATATCATGTTCCGGCGACAATATTCATGAGAGAGTTGTTTTTATGCATTGTTATCATTTGTTGATACCAGGAACATTATTTAACGAATTAATATATAATGATGATGATTATAATAATAATAATAATAATAATAATAATAATAATAATAACAACAACAACAACAACAACAACAACAACAACAACAACAAGAAGAAGAAGAAGAAGAAGAAGAACAACAACAACAATAAGAACAACAACAACAATAATAATATTAATATTAAAATAAAAAATGCAGCAGAGAGGGTTTTGGTGATCCTGGCACAGACAGGCTGGTTAGGCTCATCATCAGCTCAGGGTCCCTTGCCCCCGTTACATGTTGCCCAGACAGCGAATGGTACTCCTCCCAGGTTCTCCTAGTCAAACCCTCCCAGAACTTTTCGGAGAATGTGAAGACTCCCAACACAGCGGCCTTTTGCATTACCCAGATTGTCAGAAGTGCTGTAGTCCTGGCAGCAAACCCGGGTACTCTCCCATTGTCAGTCAACAGATTGGGAGCTACCAAACCTAAGGCACCGAGAACAATGGGGAGCCGTACAACTTGGTACTTGCGATGCAAGCATAACATTTCGAAAGCGAGGCCTGCATATTTGCCATGTCAATCACATTATTGTCAAAATGGACAGAAAATTCAATGATGTAAATGATTTCATTGGATTTATAAAAAAGGACAAGATCGGGTCTGTTGGCTTGGATGGGTCTACGGCTGTATACGGGCCTATTCCAAAAAAATTGTATTTATCATTTTCCATGACGCCCTCTACATAGTCTGGGTCGTACCATGGATGGATCTCTGCATCAAAACCACAAGCATGGCGAAGACGGTAAAAAAAAAGATCGAGCCACTCCATTATGTCGCTTAAGTTGGGCATCCACTGACATTGTGTTGGACAGTCTCATGAACTTCATTGCCTAATCTATATTTCATATTTACTTTTTGATGCAAAATCACACATTCGCGGTTTCGAGTGGGAAGTGACTGGTCTTGAGCAGGAAACAAAGCCTTCTGTTTCAAATTTAAGGCCAGCCGACGTCATCCATGCGAAGGATTCACTGCACATAAACTCGACACACTGCACATAAACTCGACACACTGCACATAAACTCGACACACTGCACATAAACTCGACACACTGCACATAAACTCGACACACTGCACATAAACTCGACACACTGCACATAAACTCGACACACTGCACATAAACTCGACACACTGCACATAAACTCGACACACTGCACATAAACTCGACACACTGCACATAAACTCGACACACTGCACATAAACTCGACACACTGTACATAAACTCGACACACTGCACATAAACTCGACACACTGCACATAAACTCGACACACTGCACATAAACTCGACACACTGCACATAAACTCGACACACTGCAAATAAACTCGACACACTGCACATAAACTCGACACACTGCACATAAACTCGACACACTGCACATAAACTCGACACACTGCACATAAACTCGACACACTGCACATAAACACGAAGCAGTGGTCATTCAGACAGCATCTGCTGGATAAACCAAACCGGTGCCCATTTGATAAGGCACTAGGCTTGGTTGAAACTCATTTCAATAGCGTCCAGCAGTACAGAACCATCAACAAAATCAACAATGACATTGAGATTATGTCTACATCCTTGGGCCGTTTAAGAAACCTGTGGAATGCCTTGTTTTCACAATGCCCCACACGATAATAATAATAATAATAACAACAACAACAACAACCATAATAATAATTGCGATCATAACACTGAGGCTGTAAATTTCATACAATAGTCGACAGTCGCAGTGCTAAGGTTTTACTGAATAGTCATTTGAGATTCTGTGATGAATTTGTTGTGGTTAACGCCGCATTGAACATTATTTCTGCTATATCAGGGCGTGTCTATTCAATAGGAGAGAAAGGGTGGCCATGGTCGCAAACCTTCCCCCTTTGGTTGAACCCAGGAGCACATGTAGGTGTTGACAGATCAGTAATAATCTCAGACTCGAACCCCAAACAGCTGATTAAGAGGCGAAGCTCTGCATATGCGAAGGGCGGCGCCTGGCACAGCGGAGCAACTGTAGATAAAGCATAAGCCAGATGTTCGGTAACACTCTGGGTGTAATATTCAGGGCACCGTTCCACAAAGCGATCTTAGCGCTACGACTATCGTAAGCCAATGTTAAAGTATGGGAGCTACGATCACCTTAGCTAAGATGGCTTTGTGGAACGGGGCCCTGACGAGCGAACGCTGTACCCATTCAACCACCCTCCACGCGTACACAGGTCAGGCAGAGACTTACCTCATCGCTACATTTCGGACAGAATTGGTTACCTAGACGACGCTTCCCTGCATCCGTTACAGCCGTGTCTGGCCATGACCGGTGGTAAACGGACAAAATCGACGAATGCTTAATGCTACAAATTAACATATACATTAGTCTCGATGGACACCTCATTAGCATATGTACATTACCTACTTATGTTGCATGTATGGGATACAGCATTGTCATTAATCTGTCACCTAAAATACAAGGTCTATCTTAATTACACATTTATCTGATCATACATCAGCGTGTATTCATAATACAATCTTAATTAAAAAAAACATTGTTGATATTGCTGTAACGGCGGGAACGTTTTTAACTGCGGATTATCTGATGATATTGGCATTTCTAGTACGTGTGATTAAGTCAATGGTTACAATTTTTTCACAGACAGAATGTGACATTCACAGTTTAACACAGGTCATTGATTATGACGGGTGGATGAAATGCTAGCATGGGCTCCTGGCGGTGGAAAATATAGTCCCTCGTTACATACACACATGAGTGAGTGAGTGAGTGGGGTTTAACGCCGCTTTGAACAGTATCGCAGTTATATCACGACGTGTCAGCTTAATGTGGGAGGAAAGCCCGAAGTGATGCAGGTCTCAGACGTTTACCACTTCGGTGAAACCCAGGAGCATGGGAATGGTGCTGACAAACCTAGAATCGTTCCGGATTAGAACCCAGGGTCATAGGTTTCTGGCAGATTTACACACTTCCGCACAACTGATTGAAGCGCCTTGGACGACTGGGCCACCCTTACTTCCCCTTAATATACAGCATCAAAACGCAACTTAAGGGACAATAGGGCGGTAGGTCATTAACGACAAGATGACTCCGGTAGTGTGGGGTCGAATCCTGGATTGGACTCAACCCCAAAAAGTACTAGAACCTGTACTTTACTAAGAAAGTGTTATCCCAGATATAACATTTGATAAGATTACACAACTTCTATAATTACACATTTCCACTATTTGGAGTTTATAAATACCCATCGACCTACGTGATTATAAAAAAAGTAACAAATTAAGTAAAAGAATATTAAATATTAAAAATAAATCCATAGAATATACAATATAACATCCAATACATATGATTCAGATGTGCCATGATGTATTCTACTTCCTATATGACTCAGTTACTTTTACTGTTTTACATTCATGACTAACAGTAAACTCAACACTTGATTGCATTTGATAAAACTACAACATGACGTACGCCTCCCAACCTCACAATATGTACCACTGTAGTTTAACACTGATGTCGGACAAACAGTATACTATGGTGAATACCCCGTTGGTTAAACACCTACCTTGATGGAACAGGACCACACGGCGTTGGAGACCAATAAGATAGGTGCTGTTGTAATATACCGAGTCCCTTTTATACGCATCGGCAACCAACGCAAGCGGCCCATTAACATAAGTCAGTCAAGCGGCGAGACGCCTGTGTTGAAAAATGATCGGAGTACCATGGCAAAGTATTATTAATTTTTCTGTCAACTCTGCGTATGTTCAATAACATTATTTTTTAAAGATGATTTTATATATCGTTATTTTACGAGACGCATGCGTATTATTGGCATGGGTCTTTTGATGTCATTAGGATGAGAGGGGTCATGGCAAGTTATATGGTGGCGTTACATTATTTCATAGGCGATATTATCGCAGTCACATGGCTGGGATATTACTGAGTGGGGCGTAAACAATATGCAAACAGGCGATATTCTTTGTACTCAAATGTATGCAAATATGCGATTTGGTTTTGAAGGAAAGCATTTTGGATGTGTGGGAATTTTCTAGTTGACGGTAGACGGCTGCATAGCTGGGAATACTGGCCTATTTGTTTGATAATTCGTTGTCACAACTCCGACATGACTACAAATGACACAAGCTATTGAGTAAGATGTTACGTCAGGTTCAACAATACTCCAACAATTTCACAACGAGGGGACACAATTAAAATATGTTGTACCCATGTGGGGAATCGATGCTGGCTGATCTCCGTGTCCTGCCAACCTTGAAACTAAACTGGTTCCCGGCTCCAAATGTGCGTCGTCAACTTGCCATTTACACACTTGTCCATAACTATAGAACACTGAACTCGCTCCCGTGTAATACCAATTTTATGAAACGAGTGAATAGTTCTGGTATCTGACGAGCAAAAGCGTTGACATTTTTAACGTTATACTGTTGAGTTTGAAGAGGCTGACACCTACACGATCCACGGCATAATCCAATTTAGTTGAACAGAATAATACTTCAAACACGTCAAACGTTGACACATATAAATTTAATACCATCAACGGTTCACCTTTAGAATTCCGTCCGTCCTTTACACACAGTTATCGTAGCGCTAAGGTTATGGCAACTCACATACTTTAACTCGACTGATCGCCTTGTGGAATGGGGCCTTGCACCTCAATGTTTACAATCACGTCACAATACCCGATGACCTAATTTGTGGAATTTTGTTGCAAGATCCATCGGCGAAACAATGCCATGTGACGTCAGCCTAGCAACAAGGTTGCTAGGGTCATCGAGAGTGCACAAGCTCCTCACAGTGATCTATCATCTCCACACGCAATGTCGTTGAATAAGCCTAGGGATGTTGAGAGCTTTCAATATTTGTTCGTGAAACGTGTTCCGAGAGTACATAAGCACGCGTTTTGGTATTACACAATGTGTAATACAGCTGTATGTTTATTAAACGGGTGATCTCTTTACGGGCAAGTGATAATAAAGGTTTACAAAATTCCTAAACATGTTATGAAGTAGACTGACTGACTGACTGAGTATGGTTTTACGCCGCTTTTAGCAATATTCCAGCAATATCACGGCGGGGGACACCAGAAATGGGCTCCACACTTTGTACCCATGTCGGGAATCGAACCCGGGTCTTCGGCGTGACGAGCGAACGCTTGAACCACTAGGCTACCCGACCGCCCGTTATGAAGTAGAGAACCTGCCACAGGCTTGCCCCCTGGATGCCAGAGAGACATGTATGTCATTCCACTTCAACCCTCACTTTGTAGTCGGGGCACTGGTGGCCCAGTCGTCTAAGGCACCGCGATTCGCTGTGCAGAGTTACGTCCCTTGGGCACGCCAAAAACCTATGATTGTGGGTTCGAATCCCGGTTCGCCCCGATTATGTTATTAGGTTTGTCAGCACCAGACCCGTGCTCGTGGGTTTCACCGAAGTGGTAAACGTCTGAGACCTGCATCACTTCGGGCTTTCCTCCCACATTAAGCTGACACGCCGTGATATAACTGGAATAATGTTAAAAGCGGCGATAAACCCAACTCACTCATTCAGTTTGTAGTCGAATAAAATTCAAACTGCACCACGCACCCAGATACACTTCACAGTTTTGAATACTGTGGGGGTGTCCCTGTTTGGTCATACCATCCACTGGCATTTTATCCAAGGAAAATTAATGAAAATGTCCCCTGAAATTTAGGTACATACAAAATGTCGCCTTTTTTACACATGACTAAATCACCACTCACAGCGTTATTTACAGCATGTTTTGAAATATAAATTTCGGATATTTACTCGGAGAAATGAATTTAAAAAATGGCATAGAATCTATTAGTGATCACGGGTATCTGTCTTTTATCAAATCACCAATGATCATTCCAAAACGTCGCCGATAACACTAGTATCGTTTAGAATGTTTTGGAAAATACGCAAACACGAACGCCGTACGTAGTGAACATTCCGCCATAATGGATAGTGTTTACAAAATCACGTTTCACGTGTATACCGGTTATGAGAAGCCTGTAGCATCACGTATATTTCAAACTCAGCCACATACATACATCACTGAATTCCTCATACAGAGTAGAAGCAAATGACAAATGGTCTTTGTCACCAGGTGTCTAGATGAAATCAAGCAAAATAAATTAGGTGTGAAAACGAACGCTGTGCTCGAAAAATTGCACTTGTTTGACGTGTAAACAAAGCAAAATTCAGATGTTACACGGTGTAGTATTTTCTTCTATTTTGCACTATCCATTTGTCTATTCGTTAAATTCATTGGCGCATCAATTTCAGAACATGCATGGATAGAGAATCGTATGAAGAATTAGGGAACTAAAAATGGTTGATATTATCAACTGAAATTTCCGTCATGTGTGACGCCACGACTGACGTAAAATCACGCACAACGACAACGGTATTTATTGGAATTTCTGACTATTTCCGTTGGTTTCAATGAAAAATACCACAACAACAAATAACAGAACACTGAATGTTTCTGATTACTTACATGTCACATTTATGTATATACGATCCCTGAATCAACGAAAGTCCCCTCGTAATATCCCGCGTACTATTGACAGTGAACACGCCATTTTGTAAAAGTCTGTCACCGGTAGTGATGTCATACGCCAACATTTTTGTACATATTTGGTCATTTCTTTGAGGTGGTTGGTTTGTTGTTTAACGCCGCACTCAGCAATATTCCAGCTATATGACGGCGGTCTGTAAATAATCGAATCTGAACCAGACAATCCAGTGATTAATGTCATGAGCATCGATCCACGCAATTGGGATCATTGACATGCATCAACCAAGTCAGCGAGCCTGACCACCCGATCCCGTTAGTCGCCTTTTACGACAAACATAGTCACCTTTTACGGCAAGCATGGGTTGCTGAAGACCTTTTCTATCCCGGAATCTTCACGGGTCTCTTTGAGGTGAAGGTCCTTGAATGAAAGCACACATATCCTGCTGTTTACAGTTTCAATTATGATGTAGACTTTGCATATCTTTAATACATTTTTTCACACATTTAATTTCACTTTGGATATTTGTCAATGTTCAATTTGATATCATACGTATAGGCCACAACATGTATGAACCTTTGATAATCTCCTGTTTGTTTTAACATTGGTAACATATGAAATTGAGAAGTTTATAGTTTATACGATATTTCTTTAATTTGGACAAGTGATACATCATTACCTTACGTTGAGTCACAAATTTTTGACAATGCAGTGAATAATGAACTGTACAATGTGCAGAAATGCTTTGTAATGCTATATTGAGTTATACAGCAAAACAACCGGACGAAGTAAGAGAACCTCTTCTCTGTTATTGTTTGGGGATAGTTGAAATGAATTAATGAAAGGTTCGATGCCACAGAGATAACTCCTTTTGAGGATGATGCCCATGTCTGTTGTCATTTTGTTTTAGCATGGCAGAACTTTATGTTCAGTATGGTGGAAATCAGTTTTCTAAGAAAGCATCCCGAAAGACCCCATACCATCTTTCCAACGATCTTGAAAATTATCATCATAATCACTTAACACAGGTTTGATTTATGTAAATAGTTACTAAATCATCCATGTTTAAAAGAAAATCGACATCTGACCGCACCCAGGGGCAATCTTAGACTACATTACTAGCATAGTATTATTTGTAACAGAAAAGGAATGTCTCTTTCATACTGCTGTCACTCAGTTACAACGTTGTACAAATTTAGAAGTGAATTAATAGAAAACCATCCATTATGATTCTGCACATGTGTTAAGTGACGGACATTGACTGCAGTTTGAATGCAGTTTAATAAAATATAACTAGAAAATATCAACATCGGCCATGGGTTTAATTATTGCTATTCTATTCCAATTTCAATGTTTTCAACAGAAGTTTCATCATTTTAAACGTAATAATCTAATAAACATATTGCAACCACATACAAGTCGTACAACACATTTCTATTTTGTCAGAAGAGTCACATCATATATCTTACGAGTTATTCCTGGTTTTGTGCCAACTTTTAAACATAAACTTTTTTGACGTCATGGAATGAAAAGACAAAGTTAGGAATATTTTCAGTGCGACACTTATATTGTATATATATCGACATATATTAACTTCCTACATGCGTATCTCGTTCAAATACCTGAGAATATTTGATTCGCTCAAAGTTTTCTGACAAGTGTAAAATAAATATTTTTTTCGCTTAGTACAATTTGGGGGTGTCTTCGAAAACCTGTGAAATGTTTATGCAAAGAAAACTATGTTTACTATCATTTCTCTAACATATTGATATCATGTTCGTAAAGTGTATGAAGACAATAATTTTTTAAATTTAATTTCCTACAGTTAAGTAAAATTTAAAGTTTGAAGGTCTTTCCTGCACCAGATGCTGGAGCATCTAACAAAATAACTTAAAGTAGTTTGTGACGCATCTCAAGGGGAGGCTTTTGTAGAAGGGTTGCGCTTCGTCTAAAAATAGCGACCAATGAAACATTACATAACATAGTGTATGTTCACAGCCATCGTCTCATTGGCCTGTACCGGCTTCTATATATTGTGACATTAGAGCTTAACCTTGTAACAACCAGATTAAGTCACGTGACTTCAGCACCCCATGCTTGTCGTAAAAGGCGACTAACGGGATCGGAAGGTCAAGATCGATAATATGATGTCAATCATTCGATTGTCTGG